TTTTTTTTTTTTTGGTTTTTCTCCGGTACCGGGAACCGAACTCACGACCTTGCGCTTGCCAGGCAGGCGCTTTTTGCCGCTGAGCTAAATCACCAGCCCCAATTTCAACTTTCTTGTTTAGTACTTTGGCTTAGTCTAAAAGGCCTTTTTTGCCCTCTTCTCTAGTTGCATAAAAATGAAGCCAACTTGACTTAGGTTAGAAAAAATATCAAGCTGATCCCTTGAAAACGTTTAACTAACATTATGCTAAAGGTTTTTTAAAAAGGGGCTCAGACTTAAATGACAAAAGACCGGGGCTGGGGATTTAGCTCAGCGGCAAAGTGCCTGCCTGGCAAGCGCAAGGTCGTGAGTTCCGTTCCCGGTACGGGAGAAAAACCAAAAAAAAAAAAAAAAATGACAAAAGACCTGTCCAGATGAAGTGTGAGGAAGGTAGTTAAAGTATAGCCATAGATCACAGCCAGGCCCTTGAACCAACTGGGGGAGCGATGTGATAAGAAAGCAGATTTTGATTTGCTGGCCGCCTGTGTAACGCAGTCCACGGAGAGCTCAGCAGGAGACTCATGTAAATGAGTGTTGACAACATTTAGTCACCAAAAACTCCGAAAGCAAGTTTAATTCGAAATGTGTCTTTCTTTATTTAGCCTTAGTGCATCTCATCAGAGTTAACAGGCTTGGATGTTAATTTAAACATTTCTGCCTCCTTTTTTTTTCCTCTCTCTCTTTTGATTTTTTGAGACAGCGTTTTGCTATGTAGTTCAGGCTGGCCTTGAACTCACTATGTAGCCCAGGCTGGCCTTGAATTTGCAGTGATCCTCCTGCCTCAGCCTCCCAAGTGCTGGAAGTGCACCTCTACTGCACTTGGCTTTCCCAGCAAAATCCTAGGCAAGCTGGAAGCCAGCAAAGGGAGCTGCTTTATCTTCTGAGCACCTGTTCTCACACCTGGCTAACTCCAGTGTGTGGGTGGAGAAAGCTTCCTCATACAAGAGAAAACATGCAATATTGAAGCTTGTGGGTCTGATTTGTTTCACTTAATATTAGGGTCTCAAGGTACAGCTATTTTCCTGCACTTGGCTCAAGTTTATTCTTCTTGATGGCAGAGTAGTATTCCATTGTGTATAAATACCACATTTTCTTTATCCATTGATCTGTTGATGGACATATAGGACATGTAGCAATTATAAGTTGTGCTGCTATAAACAAGAGTATGCATGGATCACTGTAATATGATGTCGTTAACTCTTTCAGGAAGGCACCGAGAAGGGGAACAGCTGGTTCCAATGGAATTTCTAGTTTTAGTTTTTTGAGGACTCTCCACACTGATTTCCATAGTGGTTGTACCACATTAGACTCCTACAAACAATGGAGAAGAGTTCCTTTTTCCCCACAGTCTCACCAACTGGACTTATCTGTCATCTTTTTCTTTCTTTCTTTCTTTCTTTCTTTCTTTCTTTCTTTCTTTCTTTCTTTCTTTCTTTTTTCTTTCTTTCTCTTCCTCTCTTTCTTTCTTTCTTTCTTTCTTTCTTTCTTTCTTTCTTCCTTTGTCTCTTTCCTTCTTTCAGAAAATAAAGCTTAGAGAGATTAAAAACAACCCAGGGTGTCAATCAGGCTTAACTAGAACTCACAGCTCCTGAGACTACAGTGTCTAGAAGCCTGCTTCACTGAGACTAGTCGAGATACTAATGCTCACTCCAATCTCCCAAATGACACGACAGTACTAATATATCCAGTTATGATTAGTTTCTGCTATTGCTCCGGAAAATAGTTTGGCTTGTTTAAGAACATGTCTCACATATATAAAGAAAACACAGTAGATACAGTGCACTCTATAAGTTACAGTATGTGTTGAGGGTCACTATTAGACACACGTGTAATAGGTAGACATGCGTGTATGGGTGATCAAAATATATGGTCAATGCATAAACATAAAAATTGTATTACAGTAAATGACACATTGCTGCAAATCCCCCCTCAGAATCCTCCCCCTCAGTTCCAACATACTCATCCCATCATCCTTGCTACTTGCTGCAGCAGCTCTTGAGTCCTCTTTCCTGAGGGTTTTTAGCAGGTGCAATCACAAATACAGTGAATGCTGGTGCTGAGTGCCACCCAGTGGAAAGGCAACTCATAAAAACATGATGCTTTGTCCTCATCCACCTTATCCACCAGGTCAACACTGTGTGGCTGACTCCTGGCTCTTCCCCAAAGTCACAGTGACCATGAAAGGGAAATATTTTGGATCCATTCAGGACATCAAGGCAGTCAGGACAGTATAGCTTAAGACCCTCAGGAAAGAGGACTCCAGAGCTGCTGCAGAAAGTGGGAAGAATGCATGTGTTCAGAGTGAGGGGTATTCGTGGCATTGTGTCTTTTACCATGATAAAGTTTTTAAAAATTTAAACATCTATTGTATTTTTATTATATTTCATATCTACACATCTAACAGCCAGGAATCTTCTTGGAAAAGCAAACAGCAAAAATACTGGCTACTAAGTCAAGAGCTGATTTGTTCCTTCTTTCTTACCAAGAGCACCTTGAGAGTTTGACATTATTAGCCTGAAGGCCAAAGTGGAAAGCAAGCTGCTGAGGTCTATAGTCCCTTTCTGGTCAAGTTCTTCTGTTTCCTTCCGGCTCTACTTATATGATTGTTTTGTGCTGTTGGTTAATTCACATTTTTTTTTTCCATGAAAAATGCATGGTTGGTTTTATCAGATCAGGAGTTGGCTGGCTTTGACAGTGGGCCAGCGGGGGCTGCCATCATGAAGGTTTGCCAGAACTCTTGTTTACAGATCACTGTCTGCTTTTAACTTCAACAGCAAAACTGAGGAGATGCCACAAAATCCCAGCAACCACACAGGCCTCAGAGATTTCAGTATCACCTCTGGCCTTGTGAGATGATTCTGTTGTTAGCAAGGTTGTACCTGACCAAGACTGTTCCCGGAACCCTGGGTCCAGCTTCCTTGGGTATTGGGGACACGTGGTGATTGCAAGGGGCACATGTGTGCATGCGCGTGTGCAGAGTAGGGACATCACATAGAGGGAGGACATAACTAAGCTCCTGGTGTACTATGACCCTGTGACCCTGTGTCCCGGTGGTACTGGTTCCCTTAGCCTAGCCTTCTGGGGTTCCAGCGAGTACAGCTCCTGTCCTGGATGCTAAGAAAAGATGCTAAGAGTCTGTCTGACCCAGACTTTGCTAGGGCCTCTCTTTGCTTCCCAATTTGCCTTAGCACAAGTCAGTTCTCTGTAGGTGATTTCCCAGGACAGCCCTGCTGGGAAGCCTGACAGCTTAGAACTGGTGGCCTGTGGAAGGCTTCTGAAAACGGCCCTTGACCCTGCGGCTTCTGGTGGCTTTTTGGTGGGCTGTTAGCTAGTGCCGTCTCCCTTCCCCAAGAGTTCAGTGCCTCCTGCACTTAAGGGAAAGTGACACAAATAGCCAGGCATGAAGGGAAGAACAGTTATTTCAATAAGTGCAATTTTTGAACAAGGGTATGTATAAACAAGAATCTCGTTTTTAAAAAACTTCCTAATTCCATGACAAGAGGCCCCTTGGTAACTTGGGATCCAGTTTAAAGGCCAAACTTGGCTGGTGCAAGATTAATTTTATTCAATACTTAGCTCATGGTGTAGGTTCTCATTTGAGAGGGGAGACAGCTTTAGGCAGGAGAGGGTCTGGTTAGAGTAATTCAGCTACCTTTCTTCCTGTCTTTCCCCTTTGCCCTTTATTTTGCAGTACTGGGAGCTGAACCCAGGGCCTTTGCATGGAATGACATCTCAGCCTTTTTTTTTTTCAGCTTTTTTTGAGATGGGAGTCTCACTATGTTGTCCAGGCTGGGCTCCAACTTACGATCTTCCTGCCTCAGCCTCCCAGGACCTTTCCATGGTTTAACATTTTACAGTAGCATCCTGTGTGCTGAGCACCAGGCCAGGTAATAAGGAAGGAAGAGGACACAGAGCCCAGCCTGGAGGTGCACACAGCTTTGCAGAGTGAAAGGACTCAGGGCTGAGCCCAGAGTGTGCAGGGGAAGCCAGGAATCCAGGGGAGCCAGGGGCACCAGACCTGCAGTTGTGAGACCTGCTGCGTCTACCTTTGTCACTTGGACGTGGTCCTCACCGTTGGGCCCCTCATCCTCCCGGGTCTGATTGGCCCATTTCTCTCTTTACCCTAGAGGTGCTCTTCGATCCCTGCCGGACCTGGTGCCCGGCATCCACCTGCCAGGCTGTGTGCCAGCTCCAGGACCTGGGGCTGCAGACGCCGCAGCTGGTGCAATGCAAGTCGTGCCACATGGAATTCTGCTCAGCCTGCAAAGCTCGCTGGCATCCCGGCCAAGGCTGCCCTGAGACCACGCCCATCACTTTCCTCCCAGGGGAGACCAGGTACCCTCTAGGGTGGGTTGGAACTGGGAGAGCGAGGGGCTTTGCTTCCCTCCCAGAAGTGCCTCAGAGAGCATGAGGCTGCAGACTCACCAGCCTCGGCACCCACTCTGCCTCTTGAGGCCTGAAGCTGTTTGATGGTTTATCTCCTTTAATTTTTTTAGATAATTATAAGTGCACAGCTTTAACATCACCTCCCAGAGACCACTCCATTGAAAGCAATCAATCACCAGCGTGCTGTCCTATTTTAATTCGTTTTATTTTTTGAGGCATGGTCTTTCTATGTAGCCCAGACTGGCCTCTAACTCAAGGTAGTCCTCCTGGCTCAGCCTCCTAGGTGCTGGGATAAGAGGTGTGCGCCACCACACCCAGCTACTTAATCCTTTTTCATTCTATCAGCATTTACTTCTTCCACATTTTTTATTAATACATACTGGTTATGCTAAGGAATGGGTTTCATTTCTGGCAGATTCATACATGCATATTCTCTAAGTTTCACAGGTTTGGGGCGATTTCAGTGTGTAAGCATTTTGATCACATTTTGATCACGCCCCGCGTTATACTTGGACTTACCCCCCCACCCCACACTCCATGGTTCATTTACCAGCACTGTGTAAGACCATGCACTTAGCAAGATGCCTGAGAACTGCACTCCACTCTACCTGCCCAGAACAAGTGAATGTTTAAACTTAGTAAAGTGTTACAGTGACAGACACACTGCCACAAATCCCCCTCAGAATTCTCTCCCTCACTTTGAACACACTCATCCCATCATCCTTGCCACTTTCTGCAGCAGCTCTGGAGTCCTCTTTCCTGAGGGGCTTTTTGAGCTCTGATCAAAGATACAGTGAGTGCTGCTGCTGGCCCTCATCCACCTGACTTACCGGATCTGGCACCCTGCAAATCGCTATGCAGGGCTTGAGTCCCATGACTCTTTCTCTAAGGCTGCTTGGGTTGAAAGTAATCTGAGCAGTGTGCACACAGGAAGAGCCCTGGGCCAGGCGCTGTGGAAACCAGAAGCATCACCAAATGCAAGTCTGCAGCGGCCTCGGGCCCAGGAGGTTGTGTCGCCTGAAATCCCGAGTCTGGAGGAAGAGGCGGGAAACCCTGCTGTGTTTTTGGCCTCAGCCAGCCCCACAGCAGATGGCCCGGCTCCCTGCCCAGGTGGACTTCACAGCCTTGTTCTGGGCACTTTAAAATTTAGTCGAGCGGACAGTAAGAAAATAGTAACATCCAGGTCTTTCTCCCAGGCAAATGTGCGGTGTCTCTTGGTTTGGCTCCGCTGTGTGGCTGCCCACAGTCCCTCCTTCTCCTGCTTCCCGATACCGTGGTCCCCGGGCCCCCGTGCCCAGGATGAGGTTCCCCTGCTGTGTACCAGGCAAGGACCCTGCCGCTCTGCCGCACACCCATTGTCACGTGCACTTTGCACACTCACTCCTGGGCCAGCCGCATCCTTCCTCTTCTCTTCACCCGTCCTGGAGATTCCTGGCCACCTGCTCGCTAGGCAGGCTCATGTCCCCGCTGTCCTGATTCCAGCTCCCAGGACAGGCTGGGTGACCCACCCTCTGTGTTCCCTTTGGAGACTGTCCCTTTCACTGTGACCCTGGGCACAGTGTGAATTCCTGCCTCAGCCTCCCTGAGTGCTAGGATTACAGGCAAGCAACACCATACCATGCCTGTTTAGTTTTTTTGTTTTGTTTTTTTGAGACAGTATCTTACTATGTAGTTCAGGCTAGATTAGAACTCATTCTATAGCCCAGACTGGCCTTGAACTCATGGCAGTCCTCCTGCTTCAGCCTCCTGAGTGCTGGGTTTTCAAGTATGCACTATCACGTCTTGCCTTTTTGTTTATTTTTCAGTTGAAATGTTCCCTTTTCCCTTCTATGTGTCACTTGATAGGCACTAGAATCTCCATTTCGTTTTTCTTTTTTCTCTTTCCCATATGGGGTATTCAACCCAAGGACTTTGCATAGAGCTCCATCCCAAGGCCTTTTAAAATTTTGAGATGGGGTCTTGCTAAGTTGATACGTTGCCCAGGCTTGGCTTCAACTTTCACTTCTCCTGCCTCAGCCTCCCACCATGGCGATATTACGGGCGGGCACCGCCACACTGGCTGGCCCCTCGTCCGTTAGCTTTGTTTATTTCATTTGACAAGAGAAGGTCTCAGCCCCTGCAGGTGGGCAGTGCTCCCAGCAGGGCGCAGACCCCGGGCACAGAGTCTCACGCAGTTTCTCCCACAGCTCCGGGTTCAAGCTTGACGAGGACACCGTGCCCATCAAGCGCTGCCCCAAGTGCAAAGTGTACATCGAGCGGGACGAGGGGTGCGCACAGATGATGTGCAAGAATTGCAAGCACGCCTTCTGCTGGTACTGCCTGGAGTCCCTGGACGTGAGTTGGCCATGGGCTGGGTGTGTGTGCGCCACGGGCCAGAGTCGGGGAGCACAAGAGCCCACTGTATCCTAAAGCACATGGTGGTCACTCCCGGCATCCAGGGCAGGAGCTCCAGGAGGTGCTTTTCTGTGTTGATGAAGATGTTACTTCTCTGGGTGGGGGCACTCAGAATCTTGACTCCTATCTAAGAGGAACCTGAACTAGTCAGTGTGGGTGCTGTGAGAGAGACAGAGTGGCCTAAAGGAGAGATGTTTCTTTCTTAAAGCTGGGGTGCTGTGAGATCGACGCCAGCCTGAGTTATGTAGGGAGACCCTGTCTTCACAAGCAAACAAAAGACTGTGGTCCCTGCAGAGCTGGTTCCCAACGTGATCTCCGTCCTGGGGGTTAGACAGCCGCCTTCTCCCAGTGGCCTCACATGGCAGAGAGAGGCAGAGCTCTGGTCTTCTCCGTAGGACACTGACCCCATCCTTCAATGCCACTCTCAAGACCCCATCCAACCAGCCCCAAAGACCCAGCCTCCTGACAAGGACATGCTGGAGCTCAGGGCTTCCATATAAGAATTTTGGTGGAAGAGGCTCAAATACTCCATCTATAACTGAGACCCTCAGAGGCATAGCAAGGGTAAATGGAGGCAGACATGTCAGAGCACAGGCACGGGCACTTTCTGTTCTTCCTTGACACCCACGGCATCTGCACGGCAGGAAATGAGTGTGTCCTTTGCTGTCCAGGGAGAGGGACGTTCTGGCCTCTGTGGCCGCCTCCCCACCCCCATGGCCTCTCACACACCCTCTGCCTGCTGTGCAGCAGGGTCTGGCCAGGCGTGGAGAGAGGAACAAGCAGTGTTACTCATGGTTCCTTCTGACCCTGACACCTGCTGCACCTCACACACCCAGCCCCAGGCTTTTCTGGGGTTCCCAGGCCTGCTGCAAGAGGTGCCTTTCAACTTCCGGCTTCCTCCTTGGCTTTGGTAGGGGGTTGGCTTCCTGCCACAGTGATGGCGCAGTGGTTTGAGTTGTAGCAGAGTCCACCTGTACATACATTCTAAAGCTATACTTCAATAACAGATCTGATTATCTAAGTGGGGATCAGTTGGTGCAAAGTGAAATGTCCTAGAAAACATGTGTTTGTGTCTGCTTTGTACAGCAGAAATGACTGCCTTCAGTTCATTCAGCAATAGCATGAAGCCAGGAGGTCTCGTTCCAACAGAGCAGGGTCTGAATCTGTGTTTTACAGCCTTGGGAGTTCGTCTGCCTCAAGTCTTCTTTCGTGCCTTGACTGTCTAACAGAACAGTTGCTGGGTGACTGTCAGAACTGTTCCCTTAGCTCACTTAGCTCAGGGTGTCGGGAAGGTACAGAGAAATGGTCGCACCCTCGCACTGGAGCTTAGGGTACTGCACAGTGTGGAACAACCTTAGAAAGTTTGCTTCTCCTTCTCAGAACAGCCGGGGGCATGGATGGTCAGGAAGCAAACGAGTATCTTGATGAGACAGAATATGAAACACGGAAGTAGATCTTGATATTACAAAAATTAGTTAGCTCTCTATTGCCTTTGGAGTTGTTCTTTCAAAAGCCTATGGTTCTATTATTAACTTTAAATGACTCCATTTACCTGGCACCCGATACAGCTGAACAGATCCGGAAGAAATACTTTCATTCTGTTTTGAAGGCTTTCGCTTCCTTTGCCTGGTCAAGTTGAATGAATCTGTTGCCAAATTCCTTTTGCTGAGCTGAGGTCAAAACTCCAAGGCTGTTGTCTGACGCCGTGCAGTGGCGAGGGCTGGCTTGGGCGGACAGTTAAAGAACTGAAAAGCCTACAAAGTCCTTTGTGCATGTTTTTGCCATATTCCAGGTGTTTTGGAAACTGTTCACTGAATGATGCTATAGTCTCTATGTTCGGCCTGCACTTCACTGCGTGGTGTACCTTCTCTAAAGTGGGAGGCAGTGAAATACCTGATTTCTTACTTGCTACCAGATGCCGTTTGAGGACCCTGTAGGGCAGTATTAGAAATGGGTGGAGAAAGTGCTTGATGTCTGGCTTTATCTTAATTTCTGCTGCTCCTTCCGGGGAAAGGAAGCAAGGAAGAAGGAAGCCTGGGTCTTGCTCCTTTGAGTGGCCCTGGAAGCAGCCGCTCCCTGCCCTCTCTGGTCCTAAAATCCACTTCTACCCTGACCCAGGAGACCCACCCAGTACTTTCCTCCATTAGACTTTCCTCGCAGCCAGGAGCTTCCTGTTTTGCTTTGGAATGAAGAACTGCTGAAAAATGACCCTGTTTTTGCATGGATCAGCTTTGGAAGGAGAGGGACGTTAGTATATGGGCAGCTTATCAAGGACATTCCCAGCGATTTCACCCGGACTCAGAGCTGCAGGGCTGGATGCTGGCCAGGAGCGTGTTTCGGGGGAGGAGCTAGAAGGGCATTTCCGGAGGAGCATTTCCACCAGTGCACGGTTCTGTGCATACACAGCATGCGGCAGTTATAAGTCACTCTGCACTGCTTCTGCCTCTTACTGTTGTCTCCAGGGTCCCATTATTAGGTCCAGAAATGGTAGAAACGGAAGCAAATCTAGGGGAACTACAGGCATAGCTCAGGCTCTCTACTGGGACTCCTACTCCAGCCAGAAGGGAGTTGTAGGGACGACAAACAGCAGGTCTGGTCAGAGGCTGCCCGAACAAAGGAGAAGGAGTAGCTAATATGTGTGGAAGAGGTTTTCCCATGCTAGGTTCCATGGTGCCAGTGTGTAATCCCAGTAGTCTGAGAGGCTGAGGCGGGAGGATCACAAGTTAGAGCTCGGCTTGGGCAACTTAGTCACTCTAGCAAGACCCTGTCCCAAAAAAATGAAGAAGGGCTGGGGATATAGTTCAGTGTGAAGGCCCTGGGTTCAATCTCCAGTATCAGAAAAAAGAAAAGAAAAAGAGAAAAAAGAAAGAAACTGTTTCTCCCGAAGTTCCCATCCAGATTGTCCATGTAAATAAAAGGTTCAGACTTTCAGAGCTCCCCGGGCCCGGACCATCAGCACCTGAGTTGAGCTGCAGGCAGCTCAGAGGTCTCTGCCCACAGGGTGTGGCAGCTTCGCCAAGGTCGCACCTGCCTGGACTCAGCAGGACCTGTTTGGAGCCTTTGAGTTTTTAACTCTGGAGCTGTGCATGGCCTGTGGGTCTCCACCTGTGTCCCTCTTTGATTCTGCTGTGAATGCCCCAAACAAGCATTGTGTCACTGGGCCCCTTCCTGGCATTCCATCCTCTGCCCCCTTGGGTGATGCCAAGGCCTCAGCACTCCTCTTCCTCCTCCCCTGCCCATCTTCTGGTGCATCCTGGCAGCTCCTGACCATCCACGTTTGCTGATCACAGGAGATGGTCTTTCCTCACTGGTTAACAGAAAGACAGTAGACGACAAGTGCTTATTGAGGTCAGCTTCTGCTCTGCACGCCTTTGTTCAGGTCTTGCGGCATTTCCTTAAGCTGGGATTTTTTCCTTTTGTACATGGAGACTGAGCCCAGGTCCTTCGCACTGAGCTGTATCTCTAGCTTTCTTTTGTTTCTTTTATTTTTTACTTGTTTTTTGTATCAGGAATTGAACTCAGGACCTTGTGCTTGCTAGGCAGGCGCTGTGCCACTAAGCTATATCCCCAGTCCCTATTTTTTACTTTTAGACAACATCTCCCTAAGTCACAAAGTTGTTCAGGCTGGGCTGGAACTTGTGATCCTCCTGCCTAACCTCCAAGAGTGCTGGCACTACTGGTGAGCACCACCACACTCAGCTGTTGAGATTCTCATTATCATTTTCTGGGGGGAAATTGAGGGGTTTATCAGTATTTCTTCAAAGTGCCTGACTGGTGAGCAAGAGACCCAGTGTCCAGTCTCTGGCCTTTCACACCTAGGGTGGGTGCTCAAAGCCAGAGTTGGACCAAAGGCATTAAACCTTGGAGAACTGGCCTGCTCAAGGGTTTATTTTTAGGGCTGGGGAGATAGCTCAGTGGCACAGTACCTTCCTGGCAAGCACAAGATCCTGAGTTCGATTCCCAGTAACAAATAAAAGGGTTTATTTTTGCACAAGGAGGTGGTTGTAGCTTTCTGTAGCTTGTGCCATTGTTTGTGTCTCCCCGGAGTTTAATGAAACTTTCATGAACAACAGCCAAGAGAAGTGGCTCCTACCACAAAAATCCTGCCAGATTCCTAGTAGTTCCTGGAATCCTTCCACCCAAGGGCCTCATCATAAATGGAACATCACAGTTAGACTCATGCATGTTCTGAGGTGCTGGGGGAGTCCCTTGGTAAAGGGGTAAGAAAACACACCTACTGTGTTTGTGTATGTGTGTGTGTATTCCTGAGATTTGAACCCAGTGCCTTTACACTGAGCTCTATACCTAGCTCTTTATATATATATATATATATACATTTTGTTTGTTTGTTTTGTTTTGTTTTAGACAGGCTCTTGCTAAGTCTTAAAGTTGCTTTGGCTGGGCTTGAACTTGAGATCCTCTTGCCTCAGCTTCCCAGAGTACTGGGATGACAGGTGTGCACCTAGCCCCAGACCTGTCTAGAAAACCCATCTTGAACAGCTCTCCTTGTTCTCTGGAGACCATGCTGAGCATGCAGATCTGCAGATCTTGTTGGGCATGGTGATGCATGCCTGTCATCCCAGGGCTCAGGAGACTGAGGCAGGAGAATCTCTACAAGTTCCAGGCCAGTCTGGACTACATAAGCAAGTGCAAGGCCAGCCTGAACTATATAGCCAGACCCTGTCTCAAAGAAGAGTAGATGTATAGACCTTGAGGTGGAAGAGCCAGTCCTCCCTGGCTGGAAGCCCTGTAGCACGCTGCAACCCAACATCTCTAGGAAGAAGAAGTGGCTGCTTTGGATGGGTATGAAGCCCACACAAAGCTCATAGATGCAAGTGCCAGCATGGGTGTGCCTTGTGTGTGCCTGGTGTGTGTCATTTTTAGAAGACACATTGATCCAAGATCTGCTGTACAAAGAAACCAACTCTTGGGGTGGTGTCATACTGGATCAGGGTCGCTTGGGGCTGCTGATGACCTGAGGCCAAGTGACAGATGGTTCACCAGAAGAGGAGAGAAGGCCCTGAGACCAGCAGCTGCCACAGAGCTGGACAGGATGGAGAGGGACACGAGGGTGTCTGTGGCCTTGTTAGCGGCCACTCATGTCCACTTGCTTTCTGCTAACCAAATGCAAGGGTTAGGGTTAGGGTTAGGGCTAGGGTTAGGGCTAGGTTTACGGTTAGCATTTGTCAAGTTGCATTTGCCATCCAGGTTACAGCCTCACCTGGATGCATCTGCCAGGACTGCAGCGAAGGTCTTGGTGGGCCAGTCCCTGGGCTGTGATGGCCAGTGCAGCTCATCGCACCAGCTATTGAAGCCTTTTAAAGCAGGTGGTGCTGCCTGGCTTGGCTTCTTTGAGAAAGCAGTTACAGAGTCTTTGTCAGAGCCATTGTGCTAGACATTCGGGGAAGCAGTGTGGATGTTTGACGTAGGAAAGCCACCTGAGTTGGTCTTGGTGCAGCCAGTGTTAAGGTTTGGATGGAATGAAGATGTATTTGAAGCTCAGGGTGGACGGAAGTGGCCTGAAATGACTTTATCAAAGACAGCAGTCTGGCGAGAGAGGCTGAAAGTTCATCAGTCCTGCCTTTCCCTGGTGCTGCTCAGGGACGAAAGGTGAAAGAGGGTGGCATCTGCCGGCATTTCCGTTGTCCAGTGAGGGCCCTGCCATCGCACCTTAAACGCAAGGGTGGTGCTGAGGAGCTTTGCATGCTGAGCCTGCATTGAAAAGTGTCCTTAGCCACAGGGTCTGGGGTGGATTGTCCTGGAGACACAGTTGGACGGAGCCCCCGGATGGGACCCAGAAGGAGGACATGGCTCAGTCTGGGCATTGGTGCGGTCACGGGGACATGACGGTCCCTGGGCTGATCAGAATGCAAAGCTCGTAGCAGTCCTAGCGTTGGAGGGAGCACTCTGCCGGGAAGAAGCCAGTACTGGCAGGGACCAGGGTGAAGCCCATGGTGCAGTCCCAGGTGACCCTGTAGGGATGGAGCTTGGTTAGGAGACACAACCATGCCCGGGAGGAGCTCTGGGACAAGGCACAAACCTGGCCCTTCAGTCGGCAGCAGAGATTTGCTGTTTCCTGCAAGCCCTGAACAGAACCCCGGTGCCAGGGTCATGCTTTGTACCAGCGTGGTACAAAGGAAGTCCAACCCCAAACTCCTTTTGGTGCACCAGGTTGGCCTGGCTCTCTGTGCTGCTCCCAGGAGGTGACAGCTGCCCTCGGTGACAGCAACCAGGTGTGCAGTACCTACAGAGGAAGGAAGTACAGCTTAGGCCCCAGACACCAGGGAGCCGAGCAGAGACGCGATGCTTACCACTGCCCTTTACTGGCTTCACAGGACGACTTCCTCCTGATCCACTATGACAAGGGACCCTGCCGCAATAAGCTGGGCCACTCCCGGGCTTCTGTGATCTGGCACCGGACACAGGTAAGAGGTTGCGCACCTGGCACTTTGATCTCAGGAGAGGGTGTGTGTGTGCACGCATAGGTGCAAGTGCCAGCATGGGTGTGCCTTGTGTGTGCCTGGTGTGTGTCATTTTTAGAAGACACATTGATCCAAGATCTGCTGTACAAAGAGACCAAGCTGGAGATGTGGCTCCTGCTGGCTTCCTCCTGGGCCAAGGTCACATCAGATGAAATACTTGTGTGTTACTCGTGACCTCGGCTGTGTGTCTTTTATCTGTGGGTACCACCGAATGCTGAGCTTCCTAGATGAGCAGGTTGATACCAGGAAAAGATAATGGGAAAACAGTGATGGCTTGATTTGTCAGCCAAGAGTGAGTGAGTTGCTTGAGACGGGGTATCTATCTCAGTAAAGCTGTGATACGTAAAAATCCAGATATCCTTGTGGGGGTCTGTTATGCAGTTAATACTCTGTTGCTGGCACTGGCTGCACTAGGAGAGTGGAGTCAGCCTCTCCCAGTGGACTCTCGTGACTTCGACCCCATGTTCTCCCCAGTCTAGGCTCTGAGCAGGTATGTGGTGCTTTGGGAAGCCCAAGGCATGGTGCCCGGGGTTCATGTGGCCAAGTCCTCACGTTCATCATCACCAAGCTGTAGGGCAAGCAGCCTGTGGCAGAAGCCCTGCACAGGGCCCTGTTCAAGCCCCCGGAGAACCCTGGGTTTGCTGGTCATGTCTTTCCTTTTTGCCCTTTGCCCTCTCCAGACTAAAGCTCGTGTGCTCTCCCTGCCTCTCTCCTTGGCCCCTGCTGTCGCTGCTGCCTGGTCCTTGTCACCATTTGTTCTTCTGTGTGTCCTGTCTGTGTCCTGCTCTGCACATGTTGTGATGCAGATTTCAATGAGATCAAGGTATTCCGTTCCTTCATCGCAGCTTTGCTTTTCCCAAGCCCTCAAATGAGGTTTGGAGATGAACTCTCCAATTCATTCAGAGCATGGCTAGTCTCTGCAGCTGGTCCATCCCATGAGTAGTGCGTGGACATTTTTTACAAGGGAGGTGCTGAGTAGGCTGGAGACTTGCAATGGCTCACAAAGCATTTGTTCTGGTTTTTTTTCCCAGAGTACAGCTTAAGAAATCAGGGCAATGGGTTTACTTCTGCAGAGCTCAGGGTTTGCCAAGACAGATGTCACTGTGTGTTGAGCGGTGACTCTCAGGAGCCTGAACTGCCACCCAGCCCTCCAGCTCCTACCATACAGGACTCAGCACCTGATACTCACAGCATGCTTGCCGACTGGGGTTTTTTTTGGTGGGGGCGGTACCAGGAATCGAACTCATGACCTTGCATTTGCTAGGCAGGTGCTGTGACGCTGCGCTATATCCCCGGCTCTCACTGATTGGTTTTGCTTTGTGATATTTGCCTCTGTCTCATTTCCTGTCAGCTGCTTCTTCTGGCAGTATCTGCCTCTGCTTACCACCATTGGGTCATAGCTTGGTCACCCAACTTATCAAATAGCATGCAAAATAAGAAACGAGAAAGAATGAGAAACCAAGGTAGCATCTCAAGGGCAAGAATGGGAGCCTGGGGTCAAGGGCTTGGGCATGGATTTAATTGCAGAGGGTGTGTGGCTTCTTTGAGATGCACCTTCTTACTGTGTGTTTTTATGGGTTCAGAGATAGTGATTCTGCAGAGCACAATCACATTTGCCCTGTGTGATTCACTAGGTGAACATTTCCAGCTGGGTAGCAGCAGGGGCTTCTTAGCATCAGCACCATGTAACTTATCAATGCAAGGTGACACCATTTATTAAACATGGTCTTCATAAGTGTGCATGCTTTTCATGTGCGCATGTGTGCGTATGTGCGTGCGCATGGGGATGGGGAGAAATTGAAGTCAAGGTAACCTTTCTTTCACACATTTGGGATGCTTTAGCACATGGTAGCCTTTTTAGAACCAATGACAGCCCTCAAAAATCTTTAGCCTCGTTTATTTTACAATTGGGAAAAGAGGCCCAAGGAGAAGTGGAGTTGAAATGAGAATGGCATGCCCAGTTTGTCCATATGTACTTACCACTCTGAGCACTAGGTGGTGGTCTAGCCTTGCGTTCCGGTCTCAGCTCTGCACTCTTCCACCTGGGAAGGATGTAGCTGTTAGGCAAGGCCACACAAAAAGCAAACTCCGCGCTCCTTTGGACATGTCTGCATTTGGAGCCCATTTCCTTTCAGCATTTATATATACCTAGGGATTCTTTGTGGTATATTAATAATCTCCTCATCTCTACAATCTCACCCATCTCCCACTGGGAACTGTTCTTTCCTCTAGTACATGTCACCGCTGTCACTTGGAATCCCTTTGCACCTGGAACCCTAGAGCAGTGTCAGTAAGACATACATTTGTTGGCTGATTAAATCCTGGTCTTTCTCTACAGATGGGGTCTTCCTTAAGACCAAGAGTTCAGGTGCCCTTGTATTTGCTGCACCTACTACATTGTCTGGCTCAGACTGGCTGTTGGGTGGGAGGGGCTTATTGCTTAAGTGGTTACATAGATGGATGGAGGGAGGAAAAAAAGGGCAAGGGAGGGTACAGGAAATGAAGGAGGTGAAAAGTGAAATGAAGGAAATATGGGTGATGGATGGATAGTTGGTTGAATGGGTAAATGATTGGATGGATGGATGGATGGATGGATGGGTAGATAGGTATATAGACAGATGAATCTATACATGGTTGAATAGATGGGTAGATGGGTGGATACATGGATGGATGGATGGGTAGATAGGTATATAGATAGATGAATCTATACATGGTTGAATAGATGGATGGATACATGGATGGATGGATGGATGGATAGGTATATAGGTAGATGAATCTATGGGTAGATGGTGGGTTGAATAGATGGGTAGATAGATGGATACTTGAGTGGATGGATGGATGAATGGGTGAATAGATGGATGGATGGATGGATGGATGGGTAGATGAATCCCTAAGTGGATAGGTGCATGGACGGGTGCTTCCATAAATGGATAGATGAATGGTGGTGGATGGTTAGATGGTCAAATGCCTGGTTGAATGGATGCATGGATGGATGGGTGATGGGTGGTTGTGTGGTTTATATTTTAGCTATGGAACCTGCAAGCCATCCTTCCTTACTTCCTCTCTTTGTCTTCTTTCTTCCAGGTCGTGGGCATATTTGCTGGATTTGGGCTCCTGCTTCTGGTGGCTTCTCCTTTTCTGCTCCTGGCCACCCCATTTGTACTCTGCTGCAAATGCAAGTGCAGTAAAGGTGACGATGACCCACTACCCACCTAGAGGAAGGGATGATACTGGAAGGAGACCTCTGTTTCCAGAGAGTGTGGCACCCCCTCCCCACCCTTACTGTCCCCCTCTCACTAAACATTTTTCTTGCCTTATGTGCCCCATTGAGCTTCACAGTGTCAGGCTGGATGCCATGATTTCAGGGACCGATGTCAGAACATTTGCCAAGGCCCCAGGTGAGGTCACCTAGGCATGGGGAAGGCAAGGCAGGTGTGGTGGGGCATGTCCCACAGCATCCGCCTCTATAGATCTGACCAGTGGTGTGGGAAGAAGCACACAAGACGGTTTTCTCCCTGAGGCATAGACTAGGAGTGTCTGGGGGGAATGGAGGAGCCCTTAACCTTGACCGAGCATCGTCCATCATCTCCTCTTGACTTCAGGATGGCACCATGCAGTGTGGAGAAGAAGTCTTTTAAGGATCACAGCTCTCTTCAGGCGGAATCCCAGTATTCCACCTTGTTTAGCACTCTGTTTATGACAACTGTTTTTATTACTAATGGCATTTAGTAAAATCCTTTTTAGAAGGCTTTTTTTGTTTTCCAATTGAGTAGGGAAAATCAACAAGGTGCATATAAACCATCCTATGCCTTTCTTGAAATGTGCATTTTAAGAAGTTACAGTTAAATGACTTTTCTGGCTTGACCACTTTTCAGACTAGAAAGCCTTATGCACTCTGAGTTTTTCTTGAAACTTGCTGTAATAACTTTCTGAATGCTGTGAGCTGTGTACTGTGATATACACAGTTCCTATATTTGTCACAAATTTTCTGAAAATATTGACATGTTTAAAGGAACATCTGAGCTAGATTTGCCTTTTATTTCTTCTTTGGTGATTCCACTCACAGGGTTCATCCCACTTCACCCAAGTAGCAGCAAATAATTTGTATTCATGTTTTCAAGCCAGATGTTTTAGTTGGAAGCAGTTCTGTTCAGAGTCACCAGGGTTTAGCCTCTTGCCCCAGTTTTCAACTAGTAAGAAGAAAATTCCATCCTCCGTCCTCAGACACAGGGCCTTCTGCCAGAGCCTGGGGGAATTTGGGACACCAAGCAGGAGTTTTCTGGATCTCCACCTTCTTTAAACGCTTTACATAATTTTGAAAAATCGTGCATCTCATGGCTTCAAGTCCTGTAGTTGGCCAGTTTGCCCTTGCTGGGAAAAAGAAGAAAACCATCCATTTCCTTCAGTTATTTTGATGTGGAAATTTTATCACTTTGTCCTTCATGGGGCGGGTGGTGTGTGACTGTTTCCATGGCAATAATGCACAGATCAATAACAACACACGCATTACTCCATCAATTGACTTTAAAAAGTGGAGAAAGTATTTTCTCATGGAGAATTGACTTCCAAAGCCAAATGTGCTTGTTGTGAGCAAAAGGCAAACGCTGCAGATTTATTACAGTGCATTTTCTTAAGACTTGTTGAGTGATCTACGAGGAAGTAAAACAAAAAATTCTTTTATCTCCCTCATTGGCTCATTACAAGCACATTTTTAAAACATGGTTGTCTGGAGTGTCCTGGACTACACGTGCACGAATTCATCTCAGGTCCTCTTCATTTCTGTCTAGAGATTTCTTCTTTATTTCTTGACAGTGAACAGCTGAGAAAAACCAGAATCAACTTTTGTCTTCACCACTAGTCCTGATTTTCTTCATGAAAGTAAAGCCATTTAGAAGATCAGCCCGTGTCAAAATTATGTCCGGAGAGTTCTCCTTACGATTGCAGTGTAAAAGCTCAGTAATTAAATAAGAACATGGCTATGGCCATCTTCTGGGGGAAGCCTGGTCTTGGGCTTTGGTGTAGTAGGAAGTGTTCGAATGGGTGACCAGCTTCACGCTCTGCTCAGTGGCTGAACACCTCAGCCTGCAGTTTGTAGATACAGCTGTCTGGGCGCCACCCTTTAAAAGTGCCCATCACAGGTGACAGGCCTGTGGCTGTGTGTCCAGTGGCCCACAGGGCAGCATGATACCCACTTCCTCTCATCCAGTGCCTGAACTCATACAGTACCCCTTGTCCTTGGGCTGGGAGGGAGAGCTGTGGAGGATTTCATTTCCAGGACAGCAGCTCAGGTTCCCATGCTCCTAGAGGGCCGTCGCCCGAGGAGTCTCTGGCCTGATCGTGCATATCTGTAGCCCCAGCCCTCCTTGTGCCTTCACCTGCTGTGTTTTGCAAACACATGTTTCAATCCAGGCAGGGACTATAGCAGTTCTGGGGACAGCCAGAGGCAGTCCAGTGGGTACCTGCCAGCTCAGCTTTTGTGCCAAGTACACCTCGGTCTTCTCAGTGTGATTCAGTAATAAAATTAAAACTGCCCCTTCCCTCTACAAATACCAGGTTCACACTGACATGCACACGCTTCCACTCCCCTGCTCGGCCTCCTTGGGAGACGAGTGCCGTGTCCATTTGTTATGGGGATGCAGTCTTAACCATGCTTGCTGTAAGATGCAAATGGAAGATGGGAAAGGGAGCTTTGGTCTTGCTGTCACTCCCCAGTAAAACCCAGAGAGTTCTGCTTTTAGTTCATGGACTTGTCCCTGTCTTTCACCGTGGTTTCTCCCAGGTGAAAAGTGACATTCATTTTTTTGAGATGCTTTACACTTTAATGTCCAGAATCATTTGACACCCGTTCATTTAGAGACAGTTAATGGCAGGGGACTGGGAAAGAACCTTAGACAGCCATGGGTGCTTCAGGGCTGACCTGTTGGGCGTCTGTAGAGGACATGGTTGACTTATCAGTTTTCTGAGGCCCCCTGGCAACTGACCCTGTTACCAGGTTTTAGTGGATCCTGTGATCCAGCAATCTGAGCCTTGCACCTCACCCAGGGCCACCACCTCCAAAGACAGTCATTGTGGATACTAGCGGGCCAGGTCTGACTTAGCATCTCAGCTAAACATCACATGAATTACTGTGCACATCAGCAATTCCTCCTGAGCTCTCAGGAATGGCTCAGGCCAAGGAACTGTCATCTGCCACCTCTGCATCTTTGCAGAATATTATTCCATAAAACTGACTTGGGCTGGCCTTGGTGATGCATTCCAGCACTCGCGAGGCTGAGGCAGGAGGATCGCCATGAGTTTGAGGCCAGCCTGGGCTACACAGTAAGTTGAAGGCCAGCCTGAACTACATAGCAAGATCTTGTCTCAAAAAAACTGTACAAACAAAACAAATAGCCACAAAAAAGCCTGAATTGGGACCCAGGCCAGTAATTCCAGGTGAGGACACAGTGTCCATTGTGGGTGGAGTTTGCTAGAGACAAAAATGGCATCAAGATGAATTTTATCTTTTTGACTTCCTTTATGAAAGGAAAAAGTTATTTAGCAAATCAGGAGAGAAAATTTTTCCTGTGGTAGTCTTTCAAAATGAGGGGATTGGAGAGAACCAGGGTGGGCTTGGGGTCTATTTCTCAGATCACCACTTAGGAGTCAACTCACCTGTGTATATACCTATGTCAGTCACAGACCATCACGGGAAAATATTCTGCATGTATACAGCTTCATGAAGGTCTCTTAAAAAATACCAAAGCCTATTCCCTTTCTTATGATTAACCTAAGCCCTTATGAAAATAAATAAAATGGAGAGATCTGATGGATTATCATCAAAAGCCCCTGATTCAGCAGAGTGGCCTGCACTGAAATGTAATTGCTAGTGCATCACAGGTAAGGAGCATGCTGTTTTATATTTAAGCCCTGTGGTCTCCGTCACCGCCCTCTAATTTGTGTAATCTCGTCTTCCACGATTTTAGGAGCCTTCTGTTAGGGTAGCTGCGTGCCTGATCTTTGTTTTTCTTCTTTGCCCACTTGGCTATGGGTGTATTTTAATCTTGTATAAAAATATGCATGAGGGAGTCATGCACATGTCTGCATTATGTATTTGACGAGTGGTGGTCGAACAAAAACGAAACGAATTCGGTTTTGTGTCCTTTGCAGCGTCAGTCCGTTTTGTGCCACCGACACTGTGATGTACAAAAGCTCTGTTGGAATGCCTTTTTCCTGTTGCGTTTTGTACTTTGGAATCCCCACGGAAACATCTGATTTGTAATTTCAATACATATTTTAAATGTATTGTATCCTACGTAGTTCGTTCCCTTTTCAAAGGGATTTCTTTTTAAAGATATTTTGGCTGGAATACAGGTGACTTTTGCAAATCCTTCTCGGCTGCTCTTTTGTGAAAGTTGGATGCATGTGGGTTGGAGATGGGGAGGAGATAGAGGGCAGGGAGTGCCCCTGTGCTGCTGGGAACACCAAGTTTATATGTGGAGTTTTTTCGCTCTCGGGGGGAGTCTCACCTATTGGATGCACAAATGGTTTGGATCCTTGGGTAAGTGAGCGCATCCAGCCATACCTGGGCTGTTTCCTGTGGGGCCTGACCAGGGGTCAGCTCTGGGGAGCACCTTGCATGGTGTTTTTTTCTCCATCCATGAAGACAACTACCAGACCAACCTGCCACCTTTGCCGAGCAGCATCCTCCAGGCCAGCATCTTTTCCTGCTGGAAAACAAAAAGTAGAATAAATATGGACACTTCCAATTCACTGAGAAATGTGATCCCTCTCAGATTCCGTACTCCACAGATGTCCAAGCCCTTTGTTTAATATTGTGCTACTGGTACACACAATCTGCACACATCCCTCCCTACATTTTCAACCATCTGTAGATTACACATAAAACCTAATACAATGTAAATGCTATGGGGATAGTTGTAGGTATTTTCTTGCTGTTCTTTACCCCTTTTGGGGGACAAATAATTGCTAACTATTATTTGGGGAATAATCACAAGAAAGAAATTTCCATGTTCAGTACAAAAGCAACTTGAATTCTTTTTCTGGATATTTTCATTCTGTAGTTGGTTGGCTCTGCTTGATGCAGATCCAAAGATAGACAGAGCCTGCCTGCTCCCATAGTGACCCCAAGATGAGAGCATTTTACCTTGATTTTCATCTGCCTCATCTACAGTTCACACAGGAATGTGTAACTCATTCATTAACGTGAAACTGAAGGCCAGGATAGGCAACTGTTTACTCCCTCAGTGGGGAAGATTACCGAGCACTATTACCAGGCCCAAGAAGGAGGAAGAGAGGGAGGAAGGAAGACAGGATTTAGTAAGTTCCCCAAAGACACCACATAGCACAGTAGTGAGGGCTTGACAGTAGTGCTCAGCTAAGCCTCCCTGAAGGAAGGTGTCAGAGAGGCTGGGCTGGGGCAGCCTTGCCTGGACTTAGAGGGATGGGCCACGTCATAAGCATCTTCTTAGTGAATAATAGGCTATGAGGTATTATTGAGAAACACAATGAGTGCTAATTTTTAAAAACATTGCAATAAGAGACACATTGCTGTGGATCCCGCTCAGAATATTCTCTCTTGCTTTATACACACTTATCCCATGGTTCTTGCGACTTTCTGCAGCAGCTCTGGAGTCCTCTTTCCTGAGGGTCTTTAGCTGTGCTGTCCTGGCTGCTTCGATGTCCTGGATGGATTCACAGTGTTTCTCTTTCATGGTCATTTTGACTTTGAGGAAAGCCAGGAGTGGTAAGTTGCCAGATCTGGTGAACAAGGTGGGTGAGGATATAGCACCATGTTTTTTTATTTGACAGAAATTGCTATCAGCATTTATTCAGTGAGGGGTATTCAAAAAATACAGTGACTGTTTAAGTAAAATAGTTTATTATAGTAAAAGACATATTGTTCTTAATCCCCTCAGAATACTTCTCTTTGCTTGGAACACACTTAACCCATCATTTTTCATAGTGTGTGTTTTACTCTTAATGATTTGTTTTTTAAAAAATTTAAACATCCCAGGTATCATTCAGTCATCCCTTGTAAAAATGAGCCAGAATGGAATTGAAAACCATAGACATGAATGATGGACAAAACCCACTGAGCCTACTGTGGAGGACATAGAATTTAGCGTAAGGTCAAGTATGACGCAGAAATGATTGGATGCCCCTGGCTCTGCAACAAGAAGATACACAGGGCTTCTATCCCCCAGGCTGACAGAGCTCAAGGTGTAGGCGGGATTTGTGGTGTAGACAGTCCCACTGCAGGATGAGAGTACACGGAGGGAGGGCCCTTGGGTTAGTGAGTGGAAAGCACACTTGGAGGAGCGAGGTCTGGGAAGGCTGCCTGTGCCAAGTAAACGGGTGTTGAGGGATTGATACTGGCATATAGGATCTTTTGACCTGCAGATGGTAGAAACAAGACCAGGCCAAATATTACCAAGACACACACTTCCATACAGGCCAAGCTTGCTTTGGGAGAATGCAGCTGAACGGAATCATCAGTTGGCTGAAAGAGGCACCAAGCTGCTCATGGAATAAAGAGCACAGTAGGTTTTTGTTGTTTTGCTGGGGTAGGTTGAAGTCTAGTAATCACCTGCCAAGGGCACAGTTCCAAAAGATGTCTCTTCTTGTGATGGACTTGGCCCACTCAGTGGTCACACGCCAGGAGGTGACTAAAGAAAAGGCTGGAAAAAGGAGGATTCACCCACTTGACAGCCTACTTTCTTGACTAGATCTGAAGCATCAAGTAACCAAAGCAGGGAAAAGGAAGGAGGGCCTGCCTTTCAGTCCACTTCCTGGGGCTGGGTTCACCTTCTGAGTTAAACATTAGCCCAGGACCAGGATGCCCTGAGCCAAACACAACAGAAAAGGTAACCAGGAAACTTAGATAGTACATAAGAAGTCCTCAGGCATACATCCAGTGTTCCTCTGCAGCCTTTGGCTGACCCAACCCTAATTACCATGTCATTGACTATGCAGATTTGACCCCTCCTTGGACTTTGGGCACCATGACAGTTCCTCAAAAGGCCATAAAATGTTACAAACTCCACTAACCTATAGAGGGGCTGAGTTAAGCTTCTCATAGGCAGGAGACCACCCTTCAATCCTACTCCAAACCCTAAGGTACAAAACCCTCAACTCTAAGCCCCCCTTGGTGTTTGGAAACAGTTGCTCCTATCACTGGCTGCTCCCACCCTATGGAGTGGATCTTGTTTTCTCTTTAAGATAATTCACTGATCTTGCTGCTACTCTGGGGTATTCTGCTTGATTCTTTGTTTAGGACATCTGGAACCTGGAGGAGATCCCCAATCTGGTAACAGTCTCAGTCAACTTGTGCTCGAAGCTGCTGAGTTTTTGTGTAGCTGTTGTCATTATCATTGTCCTATACCAAGCATCCCGGTCCTGTGGACCTTGACCCTATGGTAGGGCCCCAGGACTTCTAGTGCTGGAGATCCATTGGCTTCTGAAAAGCTGCAAGGCTAGGGGAGAGAAAAAGGAGAAGAAAGTGCGTACTACTACAGTGGGCAGTAGCCCTTGTTACCCCATGGTAGTCTGGGACCCAATCTATCTAAATGATCAGCGTGTCTACATGCAGAGCTCAATAGTCAGCTTCAAGGGTTAGGACAGCAGAGGACACGGACACAATGTGAAGACAGGCGTGCTGCTTACCCCACTTTAGTCCCCCACCAGCTCTCACTAAGCTCACAAGGGGCTGATACTTGCAGCATGAATGGCCTTCAGGTCCCCCAGAAGTGACCCACTAATGGTTATTATAACCCACCCATCAGACTGTCGTTGCTAGTGAGAAACACTAGTCACCAGCTGTGCAACCTCCAAACTAAGTGATTTCTATGCTAATATCAAGCAGGGCTGGAGGGCTTATTTGGGATTTTTCTTGGAAACAGTTGCTCCTGTCTCATGCACACCCAGTTTCTTTGGCTTTATCAGGGTCTCGTGATGGGTCTCTTGGAATAAGTCAGGCTTCCTCAGGAAAAATTTATTCTGTCCAGGGGTGTGTCTTGATATCCTCACCTCTCTCTCTCACTGTGGTATTCTCTAAGAGAATTCTCAAAATGAGCAGCAGATGGGTGACCAAACCATACAGTGAATGTTTACATTCAAAAAAGTATTACAGTAAAACACACATTACTGTCAGTTGTCCTCAAAATACTCCCTCCTCACCTTTGAGCACACTGATCCCATCATTTTTGCCACTTTCTGTAGCAGTTCCTGGAGTCTTCTTTCCTGAGTGTCTTTACCGGTATGGTTGCTCCCCAGTGCCATCCAATGGAAAAGCAGGCTCATAAAAGCAAGCTGTGTTCTTACTCACTGGATCTCGCACCCTGCAACTTCCAGCTCTTCCCCAAAGTTGAAATGACCATGAAAAGGAAATGTTTCGAATTGATGTAGGACATTGGGGTTGCCACAACAGCACAACTAAGGACACTGGTACTTCTTGTGGAGAATGGGGGCAAGAGATTAGTAACACGGATATGAAGAGGTGGCATCTTCAGAATAATTGCAAGGTGGCTGGATACAGTCTGCCCTCAGTCAATGTTTATGGCTTGAGTGAACAAAAAAATAATCATCCATATGGTGGAAGCTCAGGGATGGGCTGAAATTGGCAGGATATAAATTCTTGGTCAATCTTAAAAGTAATAGATGAGAGATGACTGATTAGGAAGGGAACCTCAGACAAATCTGTTTGCTGATTCAAGCCAGCACAAAAGATCCTGAATTCTGCCTCCCCGAGTTCCTCAAAGGATGGTGTCTTACTTTCTCATTGCTGAGACAAGATACCTGACACCCAAAGTTAAAGGGGGAAAGGTTTATTTAGTTCACAGTTTGTAGAGGTTTCCATAGTCAGCTGGCTCTAACACAAGGTGGCACATGGCAGAGGGACATGCTCATGGCAGTGGAAGACAGCAAAAGCAGCAAGGGAGAGGGAGAAGCCTCTTCCTGTCCCTTATATTGTATCCAGTCTACCAGGATTAGGGCGGTGCCGATCCAATCAGTGGACTGACCCAGTGATCACCCACCCTTAATCCCAGCACCTTTAACCGCAGCATTGCACTATGAATCAGTCACACATTCCAGATTCAGCAGCCTCCAAAGCACTCTGACTGCAGGAAGTTCTGAGGGGACATCTAGATACAACCAAAACAGATGGAAAGAACAAAGACACAACTGTACTCACTGTTTAGGGGAAAACTTTTTGGGGACCAGAAAATGAGGTCCCAGCAAGAGTGGAGTCTGTTTTTCTTTTTGCACAACTTCTAACACATTGCTGAGCACAAGAAATGTTAAATAGTAATTTAATGCTGTTATTAATGACGAAGGATCAATCAGCATGTTAATGAAACTCGCAGATGA